AGCGAAGCAGAATGCGAGAGACTTGAGTTCAAATCCTCACTCTGCCAATTCAGTTCACTGGTTAACCTTCAGCCAGGATTATTTTCTCTCGGGGTTACAGCTTGCTGCAAGACAGAGGGGGAAAGCAGGAGGAGGAAAAAGTATGTTGCCCTGGATCTGGTAAAAATATAATAAATATATGGGATTTTGCACTTAGACAGTGGGGGTGCAGCTGGGTCTGTAGAAAGGTTCCTCTCGTACTTGGGCTCGCATGCCGTCCGCGTTCTGCAGGGAGACTTACAGGTACACCTGCTGGGAAGCTTGGATTGGCCCATTTTAAAACCCTATTTTAATCTAGGAAGGCCTCAGGCTTGTAGAAATCGTTTCTTTTAGATAGCCTTGTTTTTCTGTTCATCATGAGAGGCACTCTGTCACCAGAAATCACATGTAGAGAGAATAATGTATTTGTCTACAATATTTTTTTTACCCTGGCTTTCTCCTTAAAAGGACCCAAGGCAGCTTCCATCATTAAAAGACAATATTTAAAGCTAAAGAGTGAGGATACGAATACTGAAAAGGATCAAACAAATGGCATACAAAAAAAATGTAAGTAACACCAAAAACCGAGTCAGGGCAGTAAGGCACAACAAGACATTTAAAACGCCCGCTCAGGCAGCCAGTCATTCTGGGACAGCCTGCCTGAGGAGAAATGTCTTGGACTGGAGAGCGGAAGGAGAACCAAGATGGGGACCAGCCTGACCTCCAGTGGGAGGGAGTTCCACAGTCTAAAGGAGCAGCCACAGAGAAGGCCTTCTCTTGTGTCCCCATCAGAGGCGACTACGAAGGCCTCTCCTGGTGATCTTAAACATTTGAGCTGGTTCATAAAGGGAGTTGAGGTGCCTGAGATTGCTCGAGACCAACCCATTTCGGGCTTTATAGGTTAGAACCAGCCCCATGAATTGAATGGATAAATACGGCTTTCTTGTAGCGTCTGTTTACAAAATACCCCCAGCATAAATTACAGCTTGCATGGAGGCCAAAAGAGAAAGCAGGTGGAGCAATGGTGATGAAGCTTTGCTCGAGGGATGGAATGCTTGTGTTGCATGCAAAAAATGCCCAGGTAACTCCAGCTTTTAAAAGATCGGGTAGGAGGCTGCGCAAGAAGAAGAAAAAATCACTGGGCCCAGAGAGTGGACAACCGTGGGCAAACTGGGGTTTAGTGTATCCCTCCCATGTCCCATAATGCTTCTGCTGTTTGTTTTTGAATTGCATCCAGCCCTGCGATGTGGAAAGGTTAAACCAACAAGCAAGCCATAATTATAATCATGAATATTAAAGGTCGTTGGCCAAAGTGAATATTTACCTTTCATTTGAGGCCTCGCTGGTTTGGGATTCTGTGCGCTGTGTGGCTTTAGGGGACTGGCAACGGAGACGCTGGAAGGAGGAGAGCGAATCAAATAGGTTTGCGGAGGCCAAATCCAAGCAGGAACCGTAGTCGTGAGTTCCTCGTAGCTTTGGTGGTAAGAGGAGGATTTAAAATGCATGTGTGCACACAGGCAGAGGGAGTCCAAATACAGTCGTTTCAAAGCTGCTTAATTTGCAGAAAGAAACACAAGTTCCACTGTTCTGCAGCTTTTGCCCCAGGTTCTCCAGAATCCCATCTGCAGGTTGTTTTTCCTTTGGGCTGTGTATGGTGGCAACTGTTCCCTGCTTCCCCTACAAGCAGTTAGGGGACAAAGGTCTGTTTCTAAGGAGGGGAGAATTGTATCCCATAATTTGATCCTAAGTATTCAGTCTTCGGAGTCTACTCTTTTGCATATCACCTGCATTAAAATACGTACAATATCTAGAGCAGTGGTTCCCAACCTGGAGTCCCCAGATGTTCTTGGACTAAAACTCCCAGAAGCCTTAACCACGAGCTGTGCTGCCTGGGTTTTCTGGGAGCTGTAGTCCAAGAACATCTGGAGAACCAGATGTTGGGAACCTCTTGAGTTAGAGTCTGTTGTTAGACACGTTTGAAAAGCAAACGTTTCATTTAACAAGTTCTGCTGGTTGTTTGTTTACATGGGGAGAAAGGGAGAAGGCATACACGGCCAGGTAACAGGGCATCGACTTGTGAGCCGTTGGAAGGCCATGAGGTGGGAGGTAAGGGGGTAGGAGCCGCCGTAAGTACCAAACGGAGAGCTGAGGTTTTGGTGGAGACGGTGGAAGAAGGGTGTGCTCCCTCCATGATGATGTCCTGCATCAGAGAGAAAAGAGGCAGCCCAAGAAAAAAATGAGAGTTTACAGCTTTATGCACAACATTATCCTGGGATATAAACTAAACATATAATTGAAATAATTTATTAAGCTAATAGTGTGGGTCACCGGGGGTGTGTGTGTCTTTTGTTCTGTTTGCCATTTCAGTGGCTACAATTACACAGATAAATACTAAGTGGGATATCCTTCCGTATCCATCACTGCTGCTTTATCGGCGGGTTCAACCACATAAGGAGAGCTGTATTTTTGTTGGTGCCTGCTCTAGGACGACACTGGTCACCCATTTCATTGTGAAACCTCCTTTACACAGAAAAAGTCAGAATTTAGGACTGAAAAAGGAGGAGAAAGGGGTGGGGTGGGGTGTAACCTCATCCCTTCCAGGGTCTCCTGAGTCTGGGATTAACTCCTGTGCCTTAGCAGCCACTTCTGCTCGCAAGCAGCCTCTCCTGCCAGTGACAAGAGGCCAGTCTTTCGAGGACCATGGAAAGGGTGGACACGGGCAGCCAACACAAACTGTTGACCTCATGGGGTTGGAACGCCCGCCGTAGCCTCAGCCACCGATTGCCCGTGTAAGGGCAGAAGCCCTGTCCTCGACGCTAAAAATTAATAAAAGCAGAGCGATTTGAAACACACCACTTGGGTTAGATGAAAAAAAATATATGGCATTGTTGCCGAAATTCTTTCGGGGTGCCGCCAAGCCCACATAGCGCTCAAAATCACTTCCATGTGGGGCCGTTCGCCACCGCTACCCTCTATTAAATCTCTTCTTCCTCGGTGTTCATGGTGTACTTTTCTCTCCTCCTCTCTCTCTCCCCCCCCCACCCGTTTCACCAAAAGCCGCTCAGGAAATTCCAATCAAATCCAGCTGAGGAGCAGCCCTTTTCCCTTCTTTTCCACGCAGGAAAAAGCCAAGGCCTCTAATTTTTATTAATAGTGATTGTGGTTCAATTAGTCCACAGCACTTTTGGTGCTCTGCATCAATAGAGGTGTCAGAAAATAAGCTGACTTTCGCTTCAGTGGAGACCTCATTTGAAGCCCGTGCCTTGGAAAATGTCACGAGAAAGGAAAGCTGTGTTTATAGAAAGCCCTTTAATTGTACACAAGTGGGCACTTCAGGCTGAGTCTGGCCTTATGGGGCATCCCAAGCAGTCAAGGTTCCTCATAAGTACTTCACCAAACAAACTCCCACTAGCATTTTAAGAAAGCATCGCAGGGCAGAATTACTACCTCTGGCGACACTCCCCGAGTGAGGGAATTGTTGTCTCCGACGTATTCATTTTTCAAGCCGCCAAACGCCACGGGGAGGGGGGGGTTCTTCTCACCCTCTCTCCAAGCCAGAGGGCTTCAAAGGCAGCCCAGCGAGGCCTTGGCGTCGAAATCAGGGAGTGCCTCAAGAGCCAAGTCCCGAGCATGCACGCTTTTTTTTTAAATATGAGGAAATCCTGCTAGGTTGAAAGATGGGATATAAACCCTCAGCTCAGGCCTTCCCACCCACTCACCCATTCAACCAGACCTCGTTTCTTGATTATCTCATTAGCGAGGGTGGGTGGTGAACAAATGCGTCAAGAGATGTTCCGGCGTGGTTGTCCTTGACTTGGAACGCATACGTTGAGTGCTTGGGTGGTTTTCAAAACCGCCTGATGATGGAGAACATGTCAGCCTAGGTTCTCTTCCTGTGCCACAGGGACTAACCATGCATTGGTTGTTGTGGGTTTTTTGGGCTCTTTGGCCGTGTTCTGAAGGTTGTTCTTCCTAACGTTTCGCCAGTCTCTGTGGCCGGCATCTTCAGAGGACAGCGCTCTGTGCTCTGTTGTAGTTGGCTTGGGAGTGCAGTATTTGCGGCTGTGAGATAGGCTTTTGTCTTTTTCTGTAGATGGGTGATTAGTGTGTCTTGTTGTGGGTGTATTGTTGTGCTAAGGAGAAGAGATTATTTGTCACTGTGGTTGATGAGTGTCATTAGCTGGTCTTTTGTGTGTAGTGATCCCCTGTCCTTGTCGCTGGGTAGAGAGTTCGTTGACCTTTTGCACGCTGTATTTTTGAGAGCTAGGAGCCAAGTTTTGTTGAGCTTCACACTTTCCTCTTTTTTGTTGAAGTTCTGCTGATGCTTGTGGATTTCAATGGCTTCCCTGTGCAGTCTGACATAATGATTGCTGGTGTTGTCCAGTATTTCATAACCATGCATTCATGATGTATCCCAAGGGGTAGAGTCCCCTTTTGCCTTGTTTGCTACTGGAGTGACGAGAGCCGAGCACGGTTGGGAGTGAAGCCTTATATTTTCAGTAGGTGTGTAACAAGAGAATTTGGCAAAGGGGGGGGAAACGATGCTTGCCGTTCTTCCCCTTTCAGGTCCAAATGGCCAACAGAGTACAGTCTTCCTTTTGAACCCAGCCCTCACCTCTATGTGCTGCAGATGTGAGGCACGTTCAGCCCCAGAATGAGCAGCCAGTGCCAAGAAAAATCATCACAGATACAGGGTTCTCACCATGCATATCGATTTACATTTTATAGGGCGGAGCATGGGTAGGAAGACCCCAGTAAGTTAATTAGGAAACCATGAAGAATCAGCAGCTGCAGAAGAGAAGGACCAGCCTGTTAGGAACTCGGGAGGTTTTGGGGCTGGGGTGAGAGGAGACTGGGAATCAGACCAAGAATTTTTAATGTAAGGAAATCTCACCCACACACTGTATTTTGTGAATGGGGTCCAAGAAGCAGCCTTGAGATTCTCCCAAGTAACTTATGTTGTTTCCATTTTGTCCATATAGAGACTTCCAGCAACACCACGATGCTCCATGAAAGACATCGGACGCTGTGGCTGGCGGTGGTAGCGGTCACCATCTCAACAGTGACCGGAGGGGGTGTTGGAGGGGGTTACGGACAAATCAAATACATGCAGCCGGTGGTGAAAGGACCCCTCGGCCCTCCGTTTCGAGAAGGCAAAGGACAGTATATAGGTAAGGAACTCTTGGCGCATCCATGGTTTTTGTGGGGGTGGAGTGAACGTTGAAAGGCAATGAGAGGGTTTTCACTTGAAGGAAGAAATCGTCTCCGGCCCTGCATCTTTCATTCTTGACCTGCTTTGTAGTGTGCACTTCCTCCACCCACACACACACCCCAGAGCTAGCTGCTCCCTGAGGCTCCCTGGCTCACTCTCCCAAAGAGCAGAGATTGGCCCAATGTCTACGCATGTGTGCTTGATGTCTTGTTTGTTTTCTTGGAAGAAGCTGTCTTGAAAACATGGTTAAAGGGCAAGACGTCATTGCCTACAGTCATTTTAAGGAGAAAGGTGGGGTTAAAAAAAAGTTGAAATAAATACATACAGGAAACACATGCAATTCTGGACTGTCCATTGTCTTCTCTCCCTTGTGGCCGGCTACAGTAGTTCCCAATACTGTTTTCCTAACTCCATTGCCCAGACCTTCAAATAGTTTTGGCAAACTAGTCCCTGCCTCTCTCCCTTACAGGGAGAACCACAGTAAAAAGAGGACATTTTAGCTCTGAGTCGTGGTTGTGAAGTGGCAGGAGGCTGTTCTGTTGTATCTCACGATGCTAGTTGGAACTTGTTTGAATTGACCCAAAGGCACCATTGGGACTATCTTCCTTTGGGAGGGTGGCCCACTCTTCTCAGTAGCGGTAGTTCTTTCGAGGCCATAAGGATGTGGTGTTCGTACCCACGGTGGGTCGGCTGCAGAACAACCGCCCCTGGTAGCTGCTGAACAACAAGGAGACTGTGGCGTACTTGGAGGTAACCATACTGCCGTCCTCTTATGGGCCGGTTTATTCTCAATGAACTATATCTGCCTGGACGCCTTGGAGAAAACCCTAGCAGTTAATGACTACACTGTAGTATTAAATCGGGAGCTGATTCAGGTTTTTGAAAATCAATCACGTGGTTTTTGTGTCAGTGTGTGCATCCTCGGGGAACAACTTTTAGTCCAGTTGTAAGCTGTGTGGTGTATTTGCACTTTGGTGCTCCGGATCCTGATTTTCCTAGTTTTTATTCTTCACTGGGAACGTAACTCTTCACCTCAACCATACCTTTCTTGAGGTGGAGTTTGCCTGGTGTGAGACAGCTGATGTCAGATTCAGCAGCTTTTATTCAGCATAGTCAGCATCAGCAGCCTATAACACAGCCCACAACTACGCTTAACAGTTGTTTCCTCTGTCTTTTAAGAATTGTAATGTCTGATCCTTCATCTTAAATATATATATGGTTAGGAGTGGCATAGCGCTGTATCAATGCAACATTAAAATAGAAATGGGTGGGGGAGAGAAGAAGAGTTAATTCTGCAGTCCAAAGTCCATTGTACTTTTCACCCAAAATTCAGTCAACCCCACAGAGGTCCACAGATACTTTTTACACATGCCAAAATACATTTGTATTTTTTTTAAAAAAAACTGTGACCAGAATGGATTAAAACTAAACCCTCCTGAAGCTGTTTTGAAAAAGCAAAACAAAACAATTCCCAGCTGAGTCAAAAAGGCATGCTTAGCTGTGTCTGTTGTGCAGTTGAAGGTTTTTAGTTCACGTTCAAGTATGCCAAACCTGATGCAAAAACAGGAGCATTACGACGTGTGATTGAGCCTTGCGTTCGGGATCTTGACTATAGAGCCAGAGTTTGGGGGTTCGATTCTCCCACCGGGCCTCCTGGGAGAAAAGCCAGCCTGGGTGACCTTGGCCAAGCTGCACAGTCCCAGAAGAAGATAATGCGAAGCCACTTTTGAGTATTCTTTACCTAGAAAACTCTAGGAAGGGTTGCCATAAGTCAGAATCAACTTGACACATCCTCCTCCTCCTCCTCCTCCTCCTCCTTCGTCAGACAGGATCTGCTAACTTTTTTTCTCTCCCTCTGAGCCCCCTCTTGGTGCCACAGTTTCTGTGTGTGGTCTACAAAAGGGACTCCCAGGTTCTGTGCCTCGCTCTGCAGACTGACTGCTGTGGCACAGAGCAAGCCGTTGGTCTGAAACAATGCCGTGGGCAAGCAAAGGAAGGCTGGCTACGCAGTATATACAGCCATGTAAAACAAGTCACCTTTTGTGTTGGCTTAGTGGCCTCGAACACAGTTCCCAGCTGCCTTTGCACTTTTCCTGGCTGGGAGGGTTTTGCCTTGGCAGGGGTGCTTAGGCACACATCTCGGGGGGTGCCTCCCAGGATTGGCTCGCTGGCCATTCCATGCAGGTGTTGGTTTGGTTTGGACAGGAAGCAAAGTGTGCTTTTCAGCAAAGGAAAGCCACGCCATCAGGCCAGGCCACCCAGCAAGGGAGAGGAAAGGGGGCGTCGGGGGGAGGACAGGCTGGCAGGACTGCATTCTCTGCTGCAGGCTCACCGTTTGGGTTTTTTTTTTAATCTGGGCCTCCTGCTGGGAACAGACTCAGGCAGCCTTCAGAGCGTAGCGGGTACGCCCCAGGGACATTGCCTTCAAGAAGACTGAAGACGTGATTGTTCAGGAGACCCTGCTAGCGAAGGATACGGATAGGTTGGTCATTGCATTCTCAGGATTTCCAGGCTAGGGCCAAGCGAATGCATACCTAAATTCTAGAAGACCTGCAGAATATCAGACTCCTAGAATGGGCAGAGATTCCATAAGTCACCTAGTCTTTGTTTCATTTAGTCGTGTCCGACTCTTTGTGACCCCATGGACCAGAGCACGCCAGGCCCTCCTGTCTTCCACTGCCTCCCAGAGTTGGGTCAAGTTCATGTTGGTCGCTTCGATGACACTATCCAGCCATCTCCTCCTCTGTCGTCCCCTTCTCCTCTTGCCTATATTATTATACTAAATAAATATGTTACAGAAGAGGGTAAGCCATACCCAACCACCACTGGGCAGCATTCAAGGGAGGGAAAGTGCTCTTCTTACTGCCTTTCCCCAGCTGCTGCAAAGTTCTTATCTGAACTGAAGCCAAGGAGAACAAAACGAAGCACGAACTCCAGTGCAGCCGGACTGAGAAGGGACTTTTTTTGGCTGCTGATGGGCTGAGATTCAAGTATCTCTCCATGCTGGTGTTTATTTCTTCCCGTGCTTTCTTGCTGCTGCTGAGCAGACTGAATTTTTTTAAAATTAAAAAAAAATTACAGTCGTGCACTCTTGCGTTGCTGAGAGACACGAGACCCCAGTCAGTCTAGGCAGCAGGAGGGAGAGGACCTTCGGAGCAAAATATGGGGAAAGTTTGGCTGCTTGCCAGGACTACAATTTTCAGAATAACTCACCCACTGTGTCTAGAGTAGCCTGGGAGTTGTACTCTGAACCCCCTTTCTGTGTCTCTAAATACAGCAGAATCAGTATCTGCTGATTCACTTATCCACAGTCTGAAAACATTAAAAGATAAATCCTGGTAATATATATTTCTGACATTGAAGTTAGCAGAACTGGCCACTAGAGGGAGCCACATACCATGCTATGTATAATGTTCACTATTAAAATAGTGTTCACTATAATCCACATTTTTCAGCATCCATGGGGGAGCTTGGAACCAATCCTCCACAGATACGGGGGTCCTACTGTACTACAGAACTAAAAATTATCCTTTTCCTTTTCCATTCATTCATCTACCCATGTCCTGGTTTCTCTTGCTACTTAGGAGTTGTAAGGACTTGGGGGCTGTACTCAGTTATTATTTTTTACACTGCATCATTTGCGTCATGGCCTTCTGTCCTGTAGCTATGAAGGTGGTAAACCTGTCTCACTTTCTCCCAGGGCCCAAAATACAGCACAGCAGCTGCTAGTAAGTATAGTAGCCTCAAAGTATAGCGACTGCCCGGCCAAAATGCATGTGGAACGAGTGCTGCAGGGAAAACCTTATCTGACTTCCCAGATAACCTGATATAAAAGGACTGAGGACGGGCAAAAAAGCTGCTTAGCTCTTCAGAAGGTCTGTTGTTGTTGTTGTTGTTAAGGGCTGCAGAGTGACACCCAGTCTATGAATGAATGGCCTTCCTGAAGCTCCTCTCAGCAGTCCTGCTGAGGACTTGCAAAACTCAAGGTTGTGTCTTCCTTTACTGAATCAACCCTCCTTTGGTCTTCTTATCCTGTCGCCATGCCCCTTCCCCAACATTATTGCCTTCCCCAGCAAGTTTTCTCTTCTCACGATGTGCCCCAAAAGAATGATCGCCTCCATTCAGAAGGTGTGTTGCAGAAGTACACCAGAGGAATGCAGTTAAACCTACAGATGGGAAGGGTTTCATAAGCCTTGTAATGGCCACAGTTAGTTGACTCAGGCCGTTTGCCTTGAGCTGACAGCACCACCGTGCGGACATTTTAGACTAGCTGACTTCCACAGCTGCCTTTTCACATTCCAATAGCAAGCAATAGCAAGGCACCTCAAGTGAGGAGACTGTCCTGTTGCAGACATGTTTTGCTAAGATACAGCCAGAACCGCAGCAAACAGTTTTTGTGTAATGCACCTGAGTGGTTGCAAAACTAGGACTGATTCTGAGCACAGCCTGCAGTTTTCCGTATCCATGTGGCAGCCTATGCTTGGGACCGCAGAGAATCTGTAATGCACCTCAGTGGTTGCAAAACTAGGACTGATTCTGCAGTTTTCCGTATCCATCTGGCAGCCTATGCTTGGGACCGCAGAGAATTTGGAACAGCTTTGATTTCAGATAATACTGAATTTCTGAAAACCATCGCACAAGGCTCTCTGGTCATTCTACTGTGGGAACACAGGAAGCTGAAGACATACTGTTGTCCATTCTTGATTCTTTCATAGTGGCATGGAATCGTGGACTTTAGTGCAGGCTAGTTTTAAAAAAAGACAAGAATCTGAAATGGGGCTGATCACAAAACAGGAAGAATTTCTTGACTTCAGATGGTGACCTGTTGAAATGTCATGATATGAACAATGAAGACCAAGGAAAACTCAGACTGTACATGCAGAAAACTTGAATACTTGGTCTTGTACTGAGAAGTGCGGACAATTGCCCCATGATTGTCTCACCATCCCATGTGTTGTT